TTGGTAAACTTTAAAAACAGCCTGGGTCTCTTCACAAGCACAGCTTTCCCCTTCTACCTCATCCACCCATTTAAGAGAATACCCCTTCAGAGAAGATTTGGGGAAACCCAACAACTCTGCCTTGAGGGTGAGCAAAGGATATTCCTAGAAAAAAACAACCTGCTTTCAGCGTGAACCCACACTGCACAGCATCATGTTCAGACCCCTCGGGTTCATGTCCATCACTGGGTCATGTTAGTGACTTGTGTATTGCAGCTGATATTCAATCCCAGCCAAAACGCATGGGCAGATCCCTGTAAATTGCAGCTAGGAGTGCCACTGCCTACTGTTAAATCATTACATGTAGAGACTGTTCCTCGTATGCCCACCTCGGAGGACAATGCTACAGTGCAAATCCTTAGTCACCACAGATTCCCAAGGACAGGGGGAAAAAATTATGCCAGGTTCTGGCAGGAGAGCTGCTTGTGTGTTCGTGAGTAACTGGAAAGGGAGATGCTTAAAATCCAAGATGAGTTCTCTGTCTCTCATTTGAATGATTTTTTTTTTAAATGTGACCAAGAGAGGGCTGGATTTGCTTACAGAGCAGTATTTGCTGGTGCTGATAGTTCTGTAACTATAGTTTCTATCAGACAGGCAGATATATCAGGAGATATGTCTGTAATGGCAGTGATAAGCAAGGTGGCTTTTCCCTTTATCAGAGTTTGACTCATCTGTCTTCTGTTCACAGCACCTTTGGGGAGCTGAAGACTGTCCGACTGCCAAAGAAAATGGCTGGAACGGGATCACATCGTGGGTTTGGATTTGTAGATTTCCTCACCAAACAGGATGCCAAGGTGAGGCTTGGGCCGTGGTCCTCTTGCCATCCTCTTGTCTGTTTTCACCCCTCAGACTGCAGTAGTTTGAGGGAAAGGCCTTGCCTATGATGGGGATTAGCTCAAATATTAGCAATCAGTAGCCAGCCACCAGTGCATTTCTGACATACGGTGACTAACAGTGGTCACTGTAGACAAGGAAAGTCACTGGAGCTTGCAGTGTTGTTGTGACTTCTGTGTCCACCCTTGGGATTTTCAGTTACCTAGTTGGGATCTTAGCCAGTTCCCAATGCAGACAAGGCTAAACTGTGGCGATACTATAGGATTCCTTGTTGTACAATTTGGCCAGATAGCTCAGGATAATACCAGAGTATGATTGCCCAAGCACTAAAAGCTCTTCACTCCATCTGTTGGCATCAAGTTAACATGGTGCTGAATGAATCAGCAAGAGCTCACATAAAGGAAAGGTGAGAATAATGTAGTATGACTCCTTTTAAAAACACTTTCTAGAATACCTGGCAGGTAAACCTCTGTAGGATCCAAGCAATGTTACTTACCTTGCAGATAGGATGCGATTACATGGCAGATTAAAAACAGCTCATCATTGACATGGTTTTAAAGGAGGATTTATTCTTAGCGGATTTTACATGAGTCTAGAACAGGGGTAGGCAACCCTGGCACAGGTGCCAGGGTGTGGCACACAAAGGCATTTTGCTTTGCACTCACTCCTCAGGACAGTCGGTGGAAAAGGGGCTGGGGCAGCACTGCCACAACAAAGATCGGGCACCTTGCAGCTCCCTCGCTGTCCACCCCTGGCACGCCAACATCTTACAAGTCAAGGTTGCAGGTATTTTTGGCACTCTGCCCAAAGTTGCCGCCTCCTCATCTAGAATGTGTTCCCTGGAACAGGGTAACATAAAACAGTAGCAGCAAAAAAAAAAAAGAGAGAGAGTGGGTGTTGAAATGGACCAAACAGAACAAGAGGCTATAGGGAACAAAAACAGTTTAGAGTAGGGGGAAGCCATCCAAGTTGGCCAAAACAACTGTGGAAAAATTGTGTAATTTAGAAGGCAGCATAATGTAACAGGAAGATGTTTGTTTGAGAGCACCATAACCATAGTGCTAAATGCATCTGTGTCAACTGGGTTGTATCTACTGAAGTGGTTAATTTGGTTCATAGCCAGTAATCAAGTGCATTTCCTGTGGTCAGAGTGTGCTGAGATACTCATTATTCCCCCAAGATAGTATGTGTATTAGGAGAAGATGTGCTGGGCCTCTGTCTTGGCAAGCTAATTATTAGCTGTAGTAGATACTGAAGAGCCTGTATAAGACCATCAGGCTCTTCTAAGCAGAGCCAGCCTCTTTGGTTGGCAGAAACAGCTGTGCAACCTGTTGGCAGAGAATCCGTCAGTGCCTGGAATTTTTCTGACTCTAACTTCTCAATGAACGTGTGTGGTTTGCTGTCTCAGACTTTGTGTTTAATAGGCTTACATTGGAATGATCTTGAGCCATCACATTTATACATCTGCTTCCCCTGCATCCCCTCCTCTTTCTGCCAGTCATCAGTGAGGACTGGCTTCTCCAGTAGAATTGGAGAAATCAGTTGCAAATCACCTGTTAGCTTCCCCACTCCTCTGGGCTCAGTGCAGGGTTGTTCCTGCAGGGTGTGTAATGCTTTTATGGCAGTTAAGAGGACAGTGCCTATGGGAATGTCTGGTGTTTGGAAATGGTAGGAACCCACCAGGAACTTGTTCACTTCCCAGGGACCAAGAGTTGAACTCAAACTAGGAAAAGCTGTGGGGTACAGTTGATCAGAGTTCTTAGGAAAACTTGACTCTACAGTATGTGCAGCTCTGATGTTTGCCCTTTGCTTCCTTGAGGCACTGTTGCCTGGATTCACCTCCTTTCGCTTACCTTAGCATTAAACTGGGCCGTTTTTTTCACACTGGCAGTTCTGAGTCTACTGCTGGTGGCATTTAGTTTACTAAGGGCCTGTGTCTGTGAGGTCCAATCCAGCTCCAGTCCTGCAAAACACTTAAGAATGTGTTCAGGAAATTTGCTAGATCAGCAACTCATTTCTAGTTAGGCTGTAGTTGGACTACATTTAGAAGGCTTCTCTTTGAACTTTCAGGAAGATATGCGATAAGTAAAATAAAAGCAGCCACAGCCCAGTGGAAAGAGCATATACCCCGACAGTTGAGAGACATAAGCTTTATTTCCATTTTGCCACTGACAGTGTGTGTGACCTGGGACAAGGCATTTTGCCTGCCTGCGCCTCAGATTCCTTATGTGTATACCAAGCATTGTCAGTGCTTGCCTTTCTTTTGATTGAGGTTTTTGGATGAAGAAGTCTACCTTCTGTAAGCTGTGCTATGAAGAATAATAGAATGGAAATAGTTAAGATTCAGTCCATGGGGATGGGGACTGTCTGATTTGGTTTGGTTGGAGTACTGTGGATTTTTATGGCATTCCATAACATTTTTAAAAATGTAACTGCATACCATATAAAATAAGAATTATGTGGCTCTTTGCATGCTGATCAAGTAGTGAGTACACAAAGCATTAGAGCATAACTCCTGCGGTTTATGGTGCTGTCCCAGAACTCCGCAATGGAATCAAAGGCTTGTAATTCACAATTTGTGTGTGCATATGCATGGCAAAATATTGAGGGATCAAACAGTTGTATAATAAAATCCAGGCTAGATTGGATCAATAGCCCATTGACTGAGAGTGACCCAGTAGCCAGTGTTTAAGAGGAAGGTCCAAGAAGCCTTTCAGTAGGCAGTTAGGGGATAACCCAATAGTTGGGAGCAAATTTATTCCCTACAGCATGGAGGTTACAACTTTAATTAACTAATATTTAATATTAATGAATATGTGTTTGGGTGTATTACACACTGATAATTGATATTCTTGTAATTATGTACGTATTTTATGTATTATTTGAAATATGTAGCAAGATTTTAAATAAGTATTTAAAATGATATTTCAAAGTGTTCCGTTTTTTCCCCATCATGTTTAAATCCAACTTTCTGGACTAAAAACAGAAACCACAACTGAGATCTAATCCATTGGTACCCTTTGCTATAATCATCTTCAGGGTGGTGGAAAAGTGAGTTCTGTGAAAGCCATGTGGTCCATGGAAACTTCAGTGGAAATATACATGGAGTAGACCTGTTCTGCCTGGTGGACTGCTAGGTGTCTGCCTAGGTCTGACCATCTTGATTCATACTGATTTGAGGTCAATTGCTGTGGGGTAACTTGGTCTGGAGGTGAGGACCCGTCTGCTACTGTGTTGCATGTCACACACAGAGGTTGCCTGTGCCACTTGTGGCATGTGTGCTCACAAGTTGGCCAGCCCTGACTTTTCATGGGAGTGGAAGCTAAGTCCCAGGCTCAGTGGACCAGGAGGCTGATTACAGCAAATGGGTCCTTCCAGGTTGTAACCCAAGCTCCAGCAGTGGCTTGCTCAGGCTGCAAAGGTGGGTAATCTTTCCAAATTTCAAGACGGATTCGGAGGTAAGAGTAGACGATGTTATCATTTTAGACAGGGTTAATTGATTTTTAAGGTCAGAAGGGACCATTGGATTATATAGTCTGACCTCCTGTGTCACACAGGGCATAGAATTTCTCTGTTAGGCCTGTATTGATCTTTATTCAAACTACCATCAGCTTGGCATTCCTCTGTGTACTTCAAATGTTGGCTTTTTCAGCAGTGTATTGTTGTGTGGCTTTTCTGTGAAGTCTGGTTCATCACTCTTTTTTGTATTTTGTGTACAACCCATCACTAGAGTTTTGTCTCCAATCAGATTGTCTGTACCTCTAGGGAGGCTACTCAGTTTAAGATCGGTGTGGCCTTAAACAAAAAGGATGGGAATAATATATTTGTGAGCGAATCCCCTTCCTCACACTCCCCTTAAAGATAACTTGTAAATACTCAACAGAAAGGTTCATAAGGGACTAGCAAAATATAGCTTATTTTACCTTCTATTGCAGCCATATAAAATTCCATAAGTGAATATTTTGTTTCATGAGTGAAAATAGCACATGATTTTTCTCTTCTTAAATCACAATAGAAGGTAGCTGTGTAGATGCTCTGACTGCTCTAGTGAGGTTTCGGGACAGGACTGCAGTGCTGGTAATGTATGAAAGCCCAGCAAATTGCATTGCGAGGCTTGCTGTTAGTTAGGGTTTAGAAAGTGTTACAGGAGGCATAAATAAAATCAGAAAGATCTCTAGGGCTGGCCCCGATTTAGTCACTACCTGTGTATGTGACTTTCCACAAGCCACGTGTCCTGTTTATGTTCACTCCTTCCACCTGTAAAATGGGGATAAACTATATTTACGTGCCCTCACCATTTTTCTGGTCACACCCATTTATAAACTCTTCAGGGCCGAGATTCATTCTCACTATGCCTTTGTACACCATGTAGCACAAATTAGCCTAAACCTCCAGAGTTATTGTTCTTATACAACTATGTGTAACCTGGGAGCTAGCATTTCTCTGACTATGTCCGAAACAAGTGTCAGATGTACAGCAGATGCAAGCCTGGCTTCCAAGCAGTGGGGACATGATTGGAGCTGGAGATAAAAGTGCTAATTTGTCAAAACTGGCCTCCCCATCAAAATTGTTCTTTTTCTACTCCCTACAGCACAGGGATGATGCTTGTCAGGGAAAAGCCACAAGCCTAAAACATGAGGGCATCGGCTCTCTTCTCATTACCTATGCCCCACAAAGAAGCAGCCACTTTATGGCGGCAACTAGCCTCACAAGGATTAAATACCAAGTCCAGAGTGTTTTGGGCCCGTTCCCTAAGATGACACAGATCATCTTAAGCAAACTCCAGGATAAAACAGTTCCCTGATCCTAGTAGCTGTTTTTTAGTCCTTCTGTAGCTAACCTTCCTGCCTTCTCACACGGAGCTCTTTCAGCCTTCAGAGGAATCAGGTGCTCATCAAGAATTCCATTGACACCTTCCAGGCTAGTTCTGATAATTGCTTTGACAATCCCTTCTCCCATG